AATTTGGTTTAGTGTATACTTCGTTTCAATCCATTTTGAACAAAACGTAAACAAACAAGTCACTGACTCGACCACAGACGGTTTAGTGATGGCCAATCGTAACGCCAACTACAAATCGATTAATTAATTGAATGAATCGATTTGTTCAATTGATTCATACAAGCGGTTTTCCTTACACAACCTATATAAGCATATTTAAAATTTCAATTTAAATCCTCCTTCAAATCCTTACACTTAGATACTTAGATTGAAATGTTCGATTTAATAATCGATTAATAAACTTTAATTGATTGAACCGAATGTTTTTTTTCGAACAGCACTATGCAACCATAGGCAAGTCATAGAAGTATGGATGAATAATAACCTCACTTTTAGACTACCATTTTTCAAATACGATTTTACAATGCCATTCAAATGAATATTGTTGGAAGAAGTGATGATATATCAAGTCCAAATCTTCGAAATATACGTGACTGTGATACTTATTCGATTTATTGAGTGATTGCTTTAGAATTTTAACCAACAGGTTTGTTTACTTTTTGATCAAAATGGATTGAAACAGACTATAGATACGCGTCTTGTACATACATACGCGGACTTGCACTACCCCCGATGATATGCTGAGTCAGCGCCCTTTCACTGCTATGTATTTACTTTAGTGTTTAATCTGTATTTGTGTCATATTGTGAATAAAGTGTTACATATCTATCTATTTAATATGTATTTTTGATTGATGAAAATTTTATGTACATTCATTCTACTCATGAACATTCATTTATTTAATTTTATTGAATAATCTGTGATTGTTGGCGCAGGTATTGGGTTGTTATATTTATGTAAGTGCATGTTGTTAAGAAATACTGTTTATTGTTCATTTGGTTAATGCTCGTGTTTGATTTGTCTGAAGATTATAGGTGGAAACCTGTAATTGTCTCTAAGTTTCTTTCCCTGTTTTTATTAAATGGTTAAGGCTATTGGTTTTCAATAAATAAATAAGTAAGTAAAACAAGTAATCTTTTTGGATTATGTAAGTAGTTCGAGTAAACATTGCTTGTGTGGATGGCTAGAGCCTAAAATATCTTAAAATCAAATTGCACGTGCAAAGAATACCGTTACTAAGCGAAAATGTCGTTTTATCAAATTTAAACTTATTTGTTGTAATTATTAATACAAAGATAGAACACTTAAAAAAAATTCCTTCGGTCCGGGCCGGATTCGAACCGACGTCTCCTAGGAAACCGTGGCAGACGCTATGCCAATTAAGCCACGGAACGAACCAGCGGACCTCTCGAATTTTTCTATGTGCTTGTTGTTGGATCTTTGTATTTGGTGTTTGGTGTATCGTGCCCGGGGCAAAAGTTCCCATTATAAATTCAATAAAAACTTACTTTAAATTTATTTTTAAAAGCTTTTTGAACGCCGTTTCCTGAATGCTGATTTTTTCATTTAGTTCCAGTATTGATTACAACGTGCGAAATGATGCTACCCAATAACGCAGTGGCTAATTATTGTACCTTAGATCAATTACTATAGCTCTAGCAACACACTTCGACCGGATCGTAACACGACCTACGACCTACGACCTTCATCGGGCCATCTGTGAGGGCCCTATGACCTTCTTCGGGTCGTCATGCATGACACACAGAGTCTTCTTAAAATAATACTATTTAAGATTTTATTATTGTGTAATTATTAATATCTACTGCTAATAAATAATAGTATTTTAAAACTGATTATTTTAAAACTAGGAAAGGAGGAAGGTAACCTTTATAGGCGTCAAATTTACTGTTTTTTTTTTGTTAGTGATATTTTGAAATATTTCGTTATATAGTAAATTCAACCTTATCTTCATGCGTTTCTGTCCATTTTTGCACGCACCAAAACGCCTGTAATGGTTACATATTGAAAATCTTGTTTTGGTGTAATCGACGTTTATTTAATTGTTACCCAATTAGTAAGTTATTAATGCATTTGTTACAAAATTAATGTTACTACTTAGTAATTTTAAACCTAAATACTAATTTGTCTACACGATAAAATAATTACTAGTGTTGTGACTTTTTTACCGACGCGCATTGACAAACGGTGGATTCGTGTTCTTTTTTGTCTATTCTTACCGACTTTACACGTCTAATAAAATAAACATCAACCTGAACCCTGTGCTTTTCCTTTGACTAGTTAATAAAGAATGTGCATACGAGAGTATTATTAAAATGAAAATATCGAGTAAATAGATGTAAACTATTAAAATTCAAAGATACACTCAATTGCATATAGAACACATGAAACCAAGAACTGTCGTAATTCAAAATTGATTGAAATAAGACAACACTATTTAAAAATTAAAAAAATGTAACACATGAACAGTATAGTTGTCCACATTTATGTAACTATTACTAAAGAATAAGTAATTGGTACCATTTAATATTTTTTGTTTTCAACTTTCAAATCGTGTTTTCTCATTTCCATATTATTTTACTATATATCCAAAATGATTGATTCAACGTTTTCACTGTTATGCGGATGCAACCAAAGCCGTTTGAGGTGGTATAAACTTTTAAGTAAAACGTTAGTAGGTACTTAAAAAATTCCGGTTAATTCTTGTATTCACTGAGTTACACCTGTTAATAACCTAATTATGTGAACAGCTACCAACATGGATTTATAATTCAACTAAACCTTAAAAGTCAACGGCATAACAACGATACTAAACGATACTACGTATTAGCGTACATAAAGTAGATAATCATTTGATCTGGAAACAAAAACTATTATTACATCCAGACTCCTCGCTCTTAGTAACTTGCTGTCTGCAGTGGCGTGGCGATGGCGTGGGGAGTGCAGTGGAGGCTAAGTAATAAAAAATATATTTTTTTTACTTTGAATTAGAAAAAAATATCCTGAACAACACAAAGGTGGCGACGACGGTAGGCGAACATAAAATCACAATCGAACAATCGAACCGAGCCTGCTCAACGAACTTTTGTAATCGTGAAAATAGAGGGGGCCGTTATTTAAAATTGGCTCCGGATGGTAGAAATCGACGCTACGCCACTGGCTGTCTTTAGTTTTGCTTTGAAAAAAAAAAAGCTGCAGTCTCTAGAGAAGTACACGCCGAATTTAGAGAATCTACACCTCGCGTCATAAATATGTTAAAATTATTCTTATTTTTGTAAATACGCTACGATTTAAATAGGAAGAAGTCAGACTATATAAGTTTGTTTTGTCAGACATCTTTCTATAATAATACCTATATTATGAGTAATATGCTAAATATGTAATTTTATTAGAATAAAACAGTTTTTTCAGTACTAAATTGCATATATTTGTTTTTCTTTCAAACAAAGCAACACAACATTTCGGGCTCTTTAAACCAGTCATTATTTATTTAAATTATAAATTTAGGTACCTCATTTTTTTATTTATATTAAATTATAATTTAGAATAGGGTGTTTTTTCAATAAATAAATATTAGACAATTAGCACTTGTGTTGTTGAAATCGAAAACAACGACGATACCACGAACACGCAGACGTGAGACATTATAGAAACGTTTGTGTTGACCGGGGATCGACCCCGGGTGTACAACCCATTCGACCACAGAGGTTGTCATTTTTTACTTGCATACTATAGACTGGTGATGATGATGATGGTGGCTAATATCATCTCAGTTAGCCAAGACAACCTGTAAAGAGTCCGAAAGGTTGATTTGTATGAAAAAACAAATATAGACGATCCAGGAGATCTACTCCCATTCTTTAAGCCAGTCATTTTCAGGTAAGCTTTTTGTACTCAATTTTGTTGACAATTTTGATTATATAATTGCTCGAATATACCATCGTGAAATATTAAACAATATTTCAGAGCACCACACTCGAATATTAAATAATACTTCACGATGATATACTATAAATATGTAAATAAAAATAAATTGTCAGCAAAAATTAGTACAAAAAACTTACCTGAAAATTACCCAAGTAATAAATACTCGACCAAATCAAAAAACAATGTCAAGTATGAAGCTTCATTCGTATCATACGTCTTTCAATTTGATCGAGTATTATTTATTTGAAAGTTGACAGTATAATTGTTTCGGATGGATTTCAGACGGAGAACGGGAGTAGACCCCCAACAGGTCCGAAATAAATATTTTTGTATACAGTTGCGCTACAAATCGTGGCAAAAGTTGGATTTTTCGCACTAGTGCTTTTTACTTTTCCATTTTTTTTTAATTTACCGTTGTTTGAAGTCTTAAACATAGAACTAAAGAGGTTGTATATTTATTTAATATTTATGTGCTTTGTGACGTAAATCATTCGTCATTAAAATTTATATGTACTAACAAACATCTTATTTGTTTAAATTACATCTTATTTGTTTAAATTGCATACATATAAAACAACGGGTTACATTTAAAAATACCAAAATATTTTCCATAAAGATGGCTGATTGAGTATTAACAATGACCGGAGGTAAGTATTACGCAAGACAGCTGCGCGCCGCCCGCGCCCCACTAAAATATGAGTTTTTTTAAATACTGTTGTATTTTACTTTCAATGTAGTTTTTCCGCAAATGTATTAAACAACGTCGTTTGGTACACGTGTGGATTTGTTATTTTCACTTGTCTCGAGTCTTAAGCCTCGGGACTCGTGAATAATGACTAACTTTCCGCACTTGTGTCAAAAATAACTATTATAACGTGTAACAATAGCGAAAACCTAAGAACTCGATAAATATACTAAATTATAGTCGGTAACCTACCACAAACTCGAATTTATTTTTGCCGAAATAACGTTTGTTCGAGGTTTCATTACCCCGAAAACCGAATTATAACGAAACCGTTGTACTTTCAGGATATGTTGGATGTTTATCGCGAAGACACGATTAGGTTCGGTTAGGTTTAAAAGAAAAAACATTTTCCTTTCAAAATTACTTTCGAGGTTATGAAAATTCGAGTAAACGCTATTTCTGGAAAATGTCATTTCGGACTTGTGATAGGTAACCATTATAGTCATTGAGAATTCATTTTTTATGTCGGATTAAAACAAGTGCCTAATACCCGCAGTAGCCCGGGTATCATTTGGTGGCGATTGGCGGGAGGCGGTCGCCAAATATTTTCTTGATTGGTGCACGCCTAGGGTCCAGCACACGTTCGTCGTTCTTACGCAGCATACCGTTTCTGCAAAAATGCAAGTCAAATTCAAAAGCAAGTTCCCCGCCAAACTTATCAACACTAGATACTGTTCATTTGTAAGACAGATTCCCCTGAGAAGAATTAGTAAGAAACTCTAGCGTTGGTGTGAAAGTCCGTGGTATCACGGGCCGCGCCGCGCGAGCTCGTGCCGGCGCGGGCTCATAATGTATGGGCCCGTGCAAATCGGCGCGGCGCGGAGCAGTCTGTGCTATCACAGGCTGCGGGAAGCTGCGTTCAGAGAGGACGATCCTCTTACTGACCCACTCCGAAAACGGCGACCGGGGGATTAGATAGCGATTAAATGTGCTGTGATTCAGCAAATAAACAAGTTATCTATCTGTCTATTTAAGTTAACTCTTGCGTCACTACCAAGTACCTACGCCTCGATTGAAGTAAAAAAGTTCGTTTCCTAAATTAGCAAGAACCTACGTAATTGCATTGAAAGAACTATACAGAGCATTAAAAGACCGTAACTTATTGACCATTTTGCATTACATAGGTACCTAACCCTATTTCACTGAAGACTCGTACAGAGTAAAGTCCAAAAGGTCAAGTATGCTATGGCCTTTACTATACCTTTTTTTATAATATCAAGTGACGGGACGAACATGTTATGCGCCTGATGGTAAGCTACACGCCTGTCCATAACAGTTGCAGTGTCACTCAGAACTTAAATTCGCAAAGATCTGTGGGGTACCGCGACTACACCCGTCACCCTGAGACATAAGTTAACAAGTCTTATGTGCCTGTAATTTCGCCAGCACCTTTAGTCTTCAAAACCGGAACACAGTAATGCTGACATACCTAACTGCTTGGCGGCAGAAATAAGTAAGGTAGCAATATTTCCCTGGACGAATTCTTTCACCTATGATGGAGGTACCTATAAAAATGGCCTGTAAATCAATATTTTTGTATTGCTGTACTCACTGCCAGTAACAGTTGTTCCTTTGCAGCCGCGCGATGTTATTCTGGCAGATCATCAACTCGTTCTGAAGATACGTCTTCTGGTCATTGACGCGGACAAACAGCTGTAAATGGGGTTTGACATTAAACTTCATGGAATGCTTATTAACAAATCTCTGCCGTTTCTCCAACCAATATACTAACTTGCTAACAATATACTAACAGTAATATTACTATAGTTATTCGAATCGGATTCGTATCATAATTGAATAGAAACACGATACTCGTGTACGATACAAATGAATACAGATACTTGTATTTCTATAAGTACCTATCCTTATTTCTAGGTAGCGAATTTTTAAAAGAAATATAGAAAGTGGTTACCTTTAAATTTCAATAAAGGTCACCTCAAACTGGTGCAGCCACGCGACGTGGCTTTATTCTTTTGTTACTTTGCTTTCAAAGAAATGTATACTTTATTCAGCATAGAGTATTATTACGTTGCATTTTGCAAAGTGCACGGGGCGCCGCTCGGCATCCCTTGTTGCATCTTCAGTTTGTTTAAATTTTTTTTTTATAATATCAAGTGACTTGATTGTAAGCTACACGCCTATCTGTAACAGTTGCAGTGGCCCTTAGAGCTTTAAATCGCAAGGAGCAGAGGCACTGCCACTGCGCCCGTCACCCTGAGACATAGTTGACAAGTCCTATGTGCCCGTAATTTCGCCAGCTCCCTTACCCTTCTAAACCGGAACGCAGTAATGCTCACATTCCTGCTTGACGGCTGAAATAAAGGAGGCAGGTGGCAGTACTTCCCTGGACGAACTCTTTCACAATGAGCTGTAAAGCTGAATTTGAGACTCTGCGCCAATATAGTATTTTTTTTAATCATTCCAATCCATAAATAACCATCGATCTGATGCAAAGTGATAACGGCTGCATTCAGTCATTTAATATCGTATATATACAAGAGAATTATCCTGAATACCGCACATGCATTATCAACTGGTTCCATTATTACACTAGCTCTCCCACCCTTCATCCGTATCAAAGACGAAGTGTGTATGAAGTGAATAAAATACCTAAACGATTACCAGTTATTTTTGAACCGTAAAATGACTGATAAGCTTTCATGTTCCTAAGTTCCTGACCTTTGATTCTGAATCCAAACGCCATTCCTTGCTTCGCAGAGTGCTTATTAGATCGGTTTTGAGTCTCTCAAACCTCTTGACTGTCCGCAACAACTCGGCCTACAAATTAGAAGCATAACATTTTAATCTAAAAAAAATTAGGAATAACAAAGAAAAAACGGAAATATTTCGATGTTCGAATATTTATGTGAACACACACCTAAAACAAATTGACCAATTTTATTCTATCTCTAGTTTAGACAGTCTATTTAATTTCTCTTAGAGTAAGTAAGACTCAAGAAATACACTATTAAACTGTGGCATCAAGGTCTACAAAACTTACAGGGGTCAAAATATCCAAATTTATGTTCAGGTCGTCGTGCTTCAACTTGCAATCTGGAAGTAAAAGAACAATTATAAAAGTTTCGTAAGTTTCAAATTTTCTTTTAATATGGTTAGTCACATTACTTCTCGACACGTAATTGCACCAAGCAGGCCTGAAAAAAGCTTTATTAGTACAGCTTAATGTGACAAGTGTGGTCAAATTTGACCGCGTCAAGCCGATTCCGTGTCGATAAGTGTGATGATTCCCTAATATAACTCGCAACTATGCTAAGTTACATAGGTACGTCTGCGCCAGGTTGTTTATTAGTGGAAATTTGTCGCGGAAAAATTAGTTCCGCATAGTTTTTGCTAGTGGGAGTAAAAAGTATTGGAAAACATTATAAGTATATATTACAAATTCGCCCGCACTAATAAAATAAGAGCAAATAGGGCAACCCCGCCTGTTCGACACGATACCTACACTTCAGTCGGAGCGTAGGGTTGTAACATTGTTACTTAGTTGTCTGTACGTACATGCATTAAACATCGTTTGAAAAAATTAAAGTGTTCTTCACAGTATTCTCGTGCCATTTACAATCAATATTTGTTAAATGGTGTAAGCGAGAAGCCCCTGTCCATAACAGTTGCAGTATTACTCGGAGCTTTGAATCACAAAGATCTGAGTGGCACTGTGTCTGACACCTTGAGACATAAATCGACAAGTCCCGTCTGGACGAACTCTTTCACAAGGGGCTCTTACTGCTGCTAAAAAAGTCTAAGGTTTGGCGTCTTGAGTGTGGAGTGTGATTATGAAATAGAAATGAATAGCAGAACAATTCTGAAATTGAAGCACTATTTTTCAAACTACCACAAACACAACAATAAACAATAAATTTGATGTCATTTTTATATACCGAGCGACCGCTCTAATTCTGTAATGGATGGCGCGTGTGACGACTCGCTCTAAGCAACGCGAGTGCACCCTGAGGGCGCATCTATTCGACACCAATTCCGCGCAGTCGTCGAGCGGAGTCCGCGTTGCCGCCGCACAGCGACCGCGTGCGTCTAACTGTCATAGCAAAATACGCTCTATTTGTTCAGCATTTACGTTCTCACATAAATGAGCGTCTCGGGCACGCGGGCGAGCCTGAATGGATTTTGGTCAACGCGGCCCGCGCGGTTGTATTATTCACAGGAATTTAAATGTTGTTGCCTAGTAAATAAAATTCTTAAAAACAAAACTTTCGCCTCGTGCATAATGGGCGCTGAGGTTACGCGAATATTTGCGTCCTAACATTTTACTATATACTATGGTACTATGGACGAGGCTAAGATAATCTTATTAATTATATCAACAAATTTCAGGTTACATTACCAGGGCCGCAGACTTTAGCGTTCTTAATCCTGTCCTTCAATATGGGCAGTTGTTCCCTCAACTGCTCGATTGTATCAAGCAGGTGTTTATGTCGGACACTTTCCCTCTCTAGGTCGAGATCGTTGTCCCACGGGTAATCGCTTCTGCGGAGCTCTTCTTGCATTGACACGATCTGCTTCTCCAGCTCGCTGTTCTGCCATGACGCCTGTTCCCTAGTAATGATGATTTTACAGAAGTCAGAAGGTGCAAACAATACAAAAAAAGTCTGTGTCACAATGGCTTGTTTACACACCCATGTCAGGTAGAAAGATTATGTAGGGTGTATACACCCTACATTATACATTAATGTACATTAATGTAAAAATGCATCAACGTTCTATTCTGTAGAGACGAAAGAAAAGAGAAAAGTTCTGAAAGAGCTCCATCGTCTTTACTTTGTCTCTCAGAAAAAAAAATAGTAAACATTTAATGTACCTACTTACTTTGGGTACTTACTAAAACTTACTTATCGCTTGTCTTACATAATTGTAACATTAAAAAACTAACATGTAACAAAAAATAATACATAAAAAAACTACGACTAATACCCACGAGATTGTCACAAATTAAAACTAACACTAACCTACAAGTCCTCTCGTGCTCCAGTTCAGACTTGAGATTGTCTATTTCGCAGTCGTTCATGGTGAAGTTTGTTTCGCAAATACTTTAATTACCCTCTTTTAACTAGCGTAGCCCCTCCCTGCCCTTGGCCTTTTGATATAATTGATTTAACAACTCTTAGCAACCAAATTACGGCACGTAAGTATAAACACTATAGGTACAGAAGATGCCTTTCCATAATATGGCTTAGGACTTAGACAAAAAAATCTGTAGTGACTGGCTTGAATGCCAACATTTAAATAGTTTAACGGCTTCCGATGATCTGTGTTAATTTGTCAACCACGTTGAAATTGAAGGGATTATTAAATATTGTTATTATGATCCATTTGCCTCAATGTCGTTTAATAGGTCAAATTATTTATTTATTTATTGATTAAGTATTGGTTAAGGGCCATCAGCTAAAAATATAATTATTAATAATGCAATCAATAATCATTAAATTGATAAATCGTAAATAATTAAGAAACTCAAAACATATTATACCTAAACTAAAAATGTTGTCATGTAGAAACTGTAATTACGAAAAACTGCCATTTTTCTGTGAGTTTTTTATACTCATATAAAAAATGGCAGCTGTATTAATTAGGTATTTGTTTTGAATATTTTGTTTTAGTTAAGTAAAGAAATAATAAAACGATGCCAACTTTTCTGCATCGATAAAGTCGCTATGTATGTGTAAAAAATCGGACAACATTCATTATTATCTATCTCACATTACAACACCTAATTGGATATTGGTGTACAAATTAAACACGACAAGCTGTCATCTGTCAATTGGAGCGAGCGTTTTGTGGTTTTAAATTTTGATTTTTGAATTCCGGGATCGCTAACCGAAACAAAAGAATTTCGATTTTTGTTTGTTTAGATATTGAAATCAACAAAAATGAGTTTATTAAGTGCAGTTCTGCAAGAAGTGGATAAAGTGAGTACAGAAGATTTGAAAAAGCATCTGGATGTATTACTTCCGAAGATGCAAGATTTTACAGTAAGGTTGCAACATTTGTCGTCTGCTTTACAAGAGAATTTTACTGACAGTTACGTGCATTTTAAGCCTACCAAGAGTTTGGAATATTTAAACTATAAGAATAGAAGAGCTATGATAGTTTGTGAATACAATAAAATTACGGAAGAAGTGAGAAAATTCACTGAAAAATTCGAGAATACCGACAAAAAGTTCTGTGATTTATTCGAAAAACTTCAAAAATGTTACGTTATTTTTGAAAATTTGTGCATTGTAGTTGAAGGTAAAAAGATTTTAGAGCAAGCTAATCACCAATTTGGAAGATACTGTTACATGGAAGCAATGTTACTGGTGAAGAATATGCAAGAGAAAGTAAAGCATGTCAAATTCGAAGGTATTGTTGCTGACGGTGTGGCAAATTTAAGAGCGCAGGCTGAGAATCAATTGGCTTTATACTCTGCACATTTGAGTGTCGAATGGGAGGATTTATTCAGCTGGGAAGAGAAAAAAGGAGTCAATACTCTGACCTACTCACTATCAGTACAACAAAGTGATCCACCTCTTTTACAAAAAGTATTAAAAACCCTACATGCTACAGATCGACTAAACTCGGAGTTAGGTTTGTTCTCACATTTCTTCATAGATAATTTACTTCACAATGTCATTAGACACAACTGTGACATATTTACAGAGGAACATACAGGAACGTTGATATTTAACATCAGAATAAACCTGAATGACAATAAAAAACCAAACTATCAGACAATATTTCTAAATCTCACAGCCATATTTGAGTTTTTGCAATCAACTTTAGGCTCACAATTTGATAATGGCAAAAAGTTCATTGAAATATTTGCTGAATCTATCAGAGAGAAATTCTTTAACAAAATAATTGACGATTGTGTCAAACTGAACCTACCCTCGTGCGATAGTAGCTACCAAAACTATAAAAACATTGTCATTGAAATAGATTCGTTTAACAAATTCCTAATAGATTTAAAATTTGTTGAATCAGAAAAATCACCGTTGAACAAATATGTGAATGACACGGAATGTGTCTTATATAACAAAAAATGTGATATGTTACTGTCAGATACTCGCAAACTCTTAAACGTGAGTCTTTCACATGGCACTATTACTGTAGGTGTGCATCAAATAGAGAATGAAAATGAATCCATACTTGATTTTTCTAATAAAGACATGTTCTGGGACTTAAACAATCCAATCTTCCTGCCAAAATGTGTAATATCGGAGAATGTGAAAAAAATAATGACAATGATTGTTGAGCATTTGGAAGAAAGTGTGAAATTACCGGAGAACTACAGGAAACTTCTGGTTTCGTACATCAGAGATATAGCTGTTATGTACCAGTGTGTGGTACCTAAAACATTTAAAGTTAATGTAGAGTGCATTCCTTCAGATATTGGTGAGCTCCTTTTTTTATTTATTATTATGATGGTTTAGTCAGATATATTATTGAGATTTATTTTTTGAAATAATTCCACTAGCTTTGTTATGATTATTAATACAAAAATTGAACACATAGAAAAAGTTCTTCGAACCAAGTGGACTTGTTGCACCATAGCATTTCTCTTGCCAACTGAGCCACAGGTCATGTCACCGACCTGTCGAAATTCTCCTATGCATTTTTGTTATAGAGGTTTGTACTGGCTTTCAGCGTTCATCATCACTAGTGACATCTAGTGTAATTTTTTTTAAACTTTTTATTCAGAACTTATGCTGCCCTTTACTGTAACAGTATAGATGCTACAGAATGTGTACACATAAAATAACCATAGAAAGTAAAATAAATGCATTTGATTTGATTTGAAAAAATATACATATAGTTTCCTTTTTAGTTTTTTTTCTGTTAGAATATCGATACGTAAAAATATAAGCCAAAAAGCAAAAATAATATGGCATCCATCTCATTGGATACTAAGCAGACTTCCTGATTTCGAAAACAGACGACTTGACTGTCAAAAACTCAAAATTATAACAACTTTTTTTACAAACAGAAAATAATGTGGGCAAATGTAATAAAACTGCTGACTGAACAATGTTAGGAGATGACATTCTACAACAAATATATTGTACAAACTGCCCCAACAAGTAAATAGGTTCAATTAAAGTAGTAATAGTCTCATTTATTTTAATGATGGCTTTTTAAAAAATACTTTTATTTTTTTTAAACCCTGCAAATCTTACTTATCTATTTAATCTGTTTTTCCCCAGCTCTATTCTTCAACAACTGTTTCTACCTAGCCCATGGTTTGCTCGGACCACCTTGGAAGGCTATCCTCCCAGCTGAGCTGGCCGACCAACTGACCACAACCCTGCTAGAGAGCATCCAAGATTTGAGAGTATTGGGTTTGGAAAAAATGTCCCTCTATCTACAAAATCAGAAGAATTTTATATTACAAGATATTGAGGCTAAAGGTATGGGTACACATATTGACGATGGATGCTAAATAACGAAGTCCTGGGCTCAATTCCCTGCAGGAACAATTTGGAAAGCAAATCTTTCTAAATTAGTCTGTGTTTGTGTGTTCTGGACAGCGCCCTCGAGTAAATTTTGTTGCTCTAGTAATCACAGTACAGGGAATTTCCTAATTCGAACCCAAGTGATTGACATGTTCATTGGCACATTATTGTAATACTATTGTTAACTTAATTGCCTTGCATCTGAAGGGGACTTATTCTACCCATCATTAACATCAATGTAGTATTTGGATCCCTTTAAATCATATCATATATTTTGTTGATGTATGTAACAGATGATTTTTGTCGTTGTTCTTATCAATCGGTGGAATCGCTCACCTTTCGCTGTAACGAAATAAGTTGCCTATCAGCAAATGGAATCCTATATATCACACCTTTCTCCTAACAGAATAGTTAGTTAAAAAACTACAGACTCCTACTTGCTACATGCCTGACGTACATCAGTGCTTCCGTCATTCACAATCAATCCGCTCAACTCCAGTCTAATTCTTACTTTTTATCTGATCTTTTCATAAGTTAATGTTATGTTTACTGTTTCCTTTACAGATTCGACAACATGGACTCAGGAATCTTACGAAGAATTCGACACAGCGATTAATAAAGCCCTCAATTTACTAAAAGACCTAAAAACCAATTGGCACAAAATACTCCCAATAAAAATGTATGAGTTGTCGATATGTACTTTAGTTCAGACATTGTGCCAAGCAATTTTGGATCGTGTATTCGTGGATGCACGCCCGATGGAAGAACACTTGGTTTATATGATCGCAGTGACGCTGGAAGATGTTGTTTCTGACATTATTACCTTGTTTGAGGTATGTCATTTTTGGTTTTAACAAACATAAAAAACTTTGAAAAACGCACTCACGCTGTTTAAGTGTGGTACTTATCGGAATAAGAGCGAAAAAAATGGTGCGTGTTTCGCTTCGTTGGGACCGCCAACGCGACATGGATCACAACACAACGGAAAATTCCTTCAATCCCACTGGATCCGCAGCTCAGTCGGCCAAAGGCTAAAGCCATTATAAAAGCGGTAGCCACGTTGAGGCGATAGACACTAATTCGCGTCCAGTAGGATCGAAAGAATTTTGCTTTTTATCAATAACATTATCAAACTAGTGAATTATTTTCACAAAAAAATTATGAATATCATGGTAGTAAAAGCATAATGATATTCAATGAAAGTAAATAGATAAAAATAAAATAACCTTTATTTCTACTACATTTTCTTGACAATAAAAGTAAATAAAGAAGTCAAAACTAAGCGGCAAACTAAGCCAATATGTAGAAAAAGAAGCAGATTTCTTTAAAAGAAATTCCTCTACACTGTAAACTTCATCTCATAAAAAGTTCAGTCAGGCATAAAATGTTTCGTCGTTTGCAACCCGTCAGATTTGCGAACCTATTACTTCTATGTATATATAGAAGTTTGTATTTATACTCTATTAATACAGGAAAACCTGAAATGCATCTAGAAGTCCGAATGACGCTCCACCCAATATGCATTTGATACCGGGTTTAGAAGCTGTTTATTAATAAAGGCCGTATACTGTTCTAAAAGTACTATTTTACATTTTAGGAACCAATAAATTTCGAATCGCGGATAAGCGTGTGGACGAAATTCACAAAAATGCCGCTACTGTTGAAGGCACAACTGCTTGAAATACCAGAACTATGGAATAAGAACAAGGATCACTTACAGGCGTACACTTGTGAAGAGATTCGGCAAATTATCAAAATGAGATTCCCTGACGATAAGTACAGATTGGAAATTTTTAAGGAAATACAATGATTTTGGTAGCATGTATAACGTCTCATTTAGTTCCCTTATAATAAAATTAAATTGTAACGTCAGAAGGGACAAACTGGACACAACTAACGACACGAGGTAGGTAAAAAGTAAAGTTTATGGCAACTTTTACAGTCACAGGAGATGGTCTACGGCTATGAAGAGAACTACGAAAACGGTCCTACAAGTGGAAGCAGGTAATGTGGACATTTTTTAGGTAATTATTAATACAAAGATCGACCGCTTAGAAAAAGTTCCTTCGATCCGGCCGGGTTGGAATAGACGTCTTCTAGCAAATCGTGGCAGACGCTATGCCAAATAAGCCACGGAACAAACCTCACGAACCTCACACACCACACAAACACAGCGGACCTCACGAATTTTTCTATGTTCTTGTTGTCGGATCTTTACATTTGGTTTTTTCAACGACTTTTTAGCCGTAGCGCCATATATTTTTTTAGGTATTTCAGCAGACTGGTTCTTCCAAAATTAAAAAAATACCTTGCGAACGTTGGCGTTCTTAATTAAACTAACTGACTGAAATTGACACTGGCCCAAGCCAGCTAGTGGCCGCCGTGGAAATAATAATAACTAGCAAGTCCCTGAAGTCCCACAATGGAAGCTCATCCGGAAGCGAAATAGTGTAGCTGAGGACCTTAGCTGATTCCATCTCTCATTCAGTACTTTAATGCTATGCCTGATGTCAACACTTTGTGTGAACACTTTTTGCTTCGACCTCAATGCCATCTAGCGACAATGCGAGGTAACTAAATTATAGATAGTATAGTTGTATAAGATTTGTACCCCATATAAAACAGTGTAAGTAATCCAAAAATCAATAATTTCGCCATACAAAGTTAACTCGTCGACACCAGAGATGGGCAAGCGCGGGCGCGAAAATAACTTTGCTTTGTATACAAAATTTTGTTCTTAGGTATACTTAAAAATAAACATTACTTTGTTTTTATTCAATTAAAAGATAGTAGTACATTATATACATATTACATGATTATATAACTTAATTTCTAGCAATTTCATTATTAGTAAACTTAATGTTACCTCATAAAGTGGGTCAATTGAAGCCTCTCTACGAATGTCATATTAAATGTACGGGAGCGTTTAACGTTAAAATTTTGAATAATTCTAGTTTTATTTTAAAAGTTATTGATGTGGTTTTACTCATTAGGTACTTTACACACTTATTACACTTTCGATATCAATGTTTTTTATATCTCCTATATTTACGGTATAATCGTCCGGGCAAACTCGACGATTATACCCTGTATAGTTAATACATGTATGTACCTAATAGGAAATATTTAATAAAATAAATGTTTACGGATGACTGCTTTAGCCTACTGACTGATTATAGCATGATGTGTATATTGCACGCTGGATGCGCTAGACATTAGCGTGCATTCTTAAATGTTTACATGGTTGCATAATTATTTACTATTTCTTACTTTTCCTAATATGTACGGAAGGAAATATGGAAGCACGCGCGATGCCGTTACTTCGCGCCACCTTTCAGTGTTGGGTAACTGATTTGTATGAAAATGTTATTGCTTTGTTTTTCCGTTTTTGGCATGTTGTAATTATTTTAAAGCATTTTAATTTATCTTAATCATGTTTACATATATATATTGTTTCTTTCCAATTAAAGATGTACTAAACAGTGTGCGTACTATTATAGTTAAGTTGGTATTTAAATTAAACAATATAATACTGTTATTATTGTTTCTGTTCTATACTAAATAGCTTTTTTTGTAAAGCGTTTAATCTTAATTATTTCCACACAAGTACGAAATTAAAAAAAACAATCTTTTCAGAGACAATCAATAACCCTGTTTAAAACATATTTATCTTATATTTATATTGTTTATATTTATTTACATTTTTTTTGCTTGTGTTTTCAAGTGTGAGCCATCACACTTGTCCATAATATTATGATATTACCAAACTTAGTAGGTACCCACATAACCTTAAAATAATGGTGTTCTGGAAGTATATACTATTTATAATTACTATGTTTACGACGTTAAAAGACAGAAACCTGTTAAGTTACGAATTTTCAGTACATCGACTTTCAAATCACTGCTATATCATATACAATTATAAATTATTATATTGAAGGATATCACACTGGTCACGCGTAGTATGTTCAGTGAGTGCGCCAAAAAACACCTATTTGTAAATAAACGTGATCTGAATTTTACTCTGTAGATATACTTATGTTTATGGTCAACTGCCAGTCCTATACGCAAAAAACTTGAAGGGAGAGACTGATTTAGTGACTGTCGGCCCCACCGAATAAACGTCAAACCTTTTACCGCATTTTTTTATTTTCCTGCCCAAAATATACCTGATAGTTTTTTTTTTCAGATTTATTTACCAATTAATTTTATAATTTATGGTCTCCAATGTTTATTCTACGGAAAATAAAATCAACAATCTCGCACGAATATTGCAAGTATGTATTTTGCATACTATCTACTCTTGCATGTTTATAACAAACTAACTTTGTAATATTGTTCGTGGGAATCTTTAAAATGATAATGCATTTTTGCACTTTTAAAATTTACTACCAATTACCAACTACAATAACCATGTAACTATATAATATTTGAACTGACAAATCTTAATATCATAAATAATGCAGAGTAATATTAAGTTACATTTTAAAATAAATATATAACTTTTCCCATGAATAATAGTGTCCACAATACAAGCGAACAGCCGCCAAAGTAATTTAGTACTAGAATAAAAATTTAAAAGGGTTTTATTCATTTCTGATAAACTATACATATTGCTATATTAATTAAATTTTTATTGAATTGATATTCACTTATTTTCGTGAAATTACTCCACTAGTTTGTTATAATTATCAATACAAAGATCGAACACTCAGAAAAAATTCCTTCGATCCGTACGGGTTCGGACCGACGTCTTCTTGCATACCGTGCCAGACGCTATACCATCTAAGCCATATAACGAACCAACGGACCTCACGAATTTTTCTATGTGCTTGGGTCGTGTCTTTGTATTTGGTTTTTCAACGACTTTTTAGTAGTAGCGCCATCTATGACAAATCTATGAAAGATTTATCATACATTGCTGTATTGTTTTTTTTATCTTTAATTTGGTCATACATTGTATTTAAGTATATACAATCACCAATGAGTAATATTATTTCTTAAGTTTTTAATCCTGTAAAGTTGCAGCTTTTTCTATACATGATTATTTGATGGTGCCGATGCCGTCGCGTTGATAAGAGAGTCACCGGCTATAAAGGCCTTTAACCTGGCCAGGTGAAAAGTACCAAGAATAAACGGGAATGTATGAAGAGACTAATAGGAGTCGAGGAGGTGAAGGAGGTATGTCAGGAGCGTAGCAAGGTCTCTGCCTACCCTGATAGGAAACAAGCGTGATTAAGATGTATGTAAGGTAGTCACCACACTTGTTAATGTAGAATCTGCTTGAGCGAGTCAGAAGAAGATTTATTATGGACATTGACATGGAGCACAGGGCATTGGCAGTAAGGTGTAATATGCTGGCCCGCAGGTTTGCACATGACGCTCTCAGAATGTTGTTCGGGTTGCCGCGCTACTGTAACGCTTCGGGAATGTTTACCGAGGCGCGTGTGGACGCCATTTTGCGGAAGCAGGTAGCGTCCCTAATGCGTAGGGTGCGGGATGGTCTTCTTCATACAGTGACCGAGAGGAACGATGGGGCATATTATTATATCAATAGGTACGGATGCATGTAAATGTTTAGATGATTAATATTAATAGTTTGTAAATATTTTGATACTAACACTATATGGATGTTTTGTCCGAAATAAAGAATTGAATTTATGTCCACGGAATAACAGCGAAAAAGTCGAGCGTTTCGCCCTTATCACTATCATTATTTTTGCGACTGGCTCTTAAAGTACTTAGATGTTGATACGTGTGATGACTCCTTAAAAATGTTTGAAATTGGAACGTATTAAATTAGTTTTTATTTTTGTAGTGTTTTGGACACTAGTAAAAATGTGTGTAAAAAGTACCTTTCTAAAATTTTCTTTGACTGAATATCGAACAATCAACAACTATTATAGAGGCGAAACACGTGCTGGTGTATTTTTGATAGTGGTGTCTGTGACTAGTTGCGCTTGTGTTAATTATTATATTATGTTATGCAGAGGGAGGGTGGTAATATTTATTTGATATGCAAGGCTGCAAAGTTGTAGTTTGACGCGAGTACTTGCATTGAATCCTGAGCTAGCGAAGAGGCTAAGATCTTCGCTCGGGGTTCAAAAATAGATTCCTGAGCGTAGCGAGGGTTTCAAAGCACGAGATGCAAAACAACATGAATGCCGAGCGAAACACACAACTTTTCATCTCACTATAGCGAGGAAAATGGTGGATGAAAGAAAAACAGGTGAACCTTTGAACAGGTGAAGTTATTTTTTAATTATAAGAAAAAAATTATCTTGGGATGCGTTCTGAATTTATACCTCATCAATTTTTATTCTTGCTAATATTTATTTTGTATGATTAAGTGATTATTGAATTTATTTTAGTTATCGCTGTCAATTGACTGTCAACAACAATAAGAATAAAATATACAAACGGACTTATATTACATAAATAAGTAACGACAAATTGCGTAGTTGAACGTATCCATTAACTTTTTTTTCATCGAAAGAAAAAGTTAGTTGCACCCTTAGAGGATGGAAAAAATGGTTTCCATAGTCTAAGGGTGCACCACAGTCCATCGTCAAGTTCGAAATTCAAAAACCTTTTCCTCGCTTGCGTGCAAAAAACGCTTTTGCGCGTAGATTTCTAATAAGAAAGAAAGCCTTTGAACTGGTGAGGTGAAAAGGAAATTTGGTAACGACATTAGTAAGACAGAGAAATATGAAGTATAAACAAACAATTGGAATAAATATAAAATATAGGGTCCCTACGGTACACAACAATAATTTTTTTATATTATGTCAAAATTAGCAATTGAAATGCGAAAAATATGAACTTGCGTCATATTCATATCAGAATTATGTGTCTATATGTAATACAAATTAATATAACGATTGTACTCGTATTTGAGCGATGACAATACGCAGATGGTAAATAAATATGTAATTAAAATACTATTTTTGTTTTATGACATCTGTGGATCGTCATCTCTGTTAGTGTGACTCATTAACTTTTTCCATCATTTAATCTAAATAGCAGAGGCACTGGCCCTCATCAACTTAAACGTTCTCGTAGAGTGCCTAGGGTCCCTATTGCCAAATCTTTTATTTTATCTAGTGGGCGAACTAATCTCGGATAGGTATGCCCACTTGAACAGATGAGAGAGACGGTGTATGTATGTATTATTATATAGGTATGTGTTATGAACGTATGTATTTATTTCTAAGATTGTTTTGTGCTAAATTGATGGTGTATATTTAAATAAATAAATAAAAATAAAATAACTTCGTCTAAGTATTTCCCGGCCATTAGATAATAAAACTGCTATAAAAAAGTAATAGAACTATCTTTTGATTGAATAAAAACGAATTGCTGCTTTTCAAGAATAATGGCTCAACACAAAATAGTTCTTTTTTGACTTATTACCAAAATTTATTCAGAAAATGCTATATTTTATTGTGAACTGGACACCGTGCTTCTCATTGATTATAATAATCACATATTAACACTGGGATGGTCTATGATTTGTCAATTTTGCGCGACAGACACGTCTCAGATTTTTTAGAACCCTTTTCTGGATGAATTAGATGCTTCTAGAGAGCCAGTGATGTTTATTTTTAAGTAGGTACAAAATTTTGTATTCAAATCACTTGTTCCTCAGCCTCTGTACCGTCGTTTTACTCATTAAATAAGGTACTTTCGATATCAGTTTGAATGTTCTTGATATCTTTTATAGATTCACGGAATAACCGCCTGGGCGCACTTAACGATTACACCCTGTAGATAGCTATTTTGTATTTTTACGCTATACGTACCACAATGTCTTGTAAAACATTTTAACAATACATCTATATGTAGGTCTCATTTGGGCGGGATAAATAGATTTTTCTAGAACATCAGTGGCGTTCATTCCACGGTCTAGTGCAGGTAGACGCCTGGGGGTAGAAGTATTAGATGATAACGACATTGGCAGAGAAAGTTCACGTCCCGAAAGCCATTACCAACGCTATATAAGTGAGTGGCGCTTCCTTCGCCCAATCATTACGTGCTTGCCTGCGATCGGCCGCCGACGCACTATGCAACACCTGTCGGTAGGTACCTGAAAAATCGAGATAATTACGCGCCAAAAAAACGCGGGAAATGTGTTCACGCGCCATGTTTACCAGTGAAAGTGCTGTACCTAGCGACAAGTTTTCGGGAAATATAACGCCTTTTTTGGCGCCAAAAAGTGCTGAGTGAGAAGTTATTTGTGTTTCTATTAAAAGATTAATAATGGAGAAAAAATTATAATGTGATCTAGAAATGTTATGCCGTATTGCCTTGATTTGCGTTGTGATTGTGAGGTGTAATTATTGTTTCCATTGCACGGTGACTGGTAACGTACCTACAGCTGACATGGAATTATGTATTTTGCAAACTGTTCATTGCTTGTTTTTACTTTTAATTAATAAACTCTTTTGTAATTTGAAGGTAAAGTTTATTACACACCGCATATCAAAACAAGTTCAACACTGTTGAGTTTTAAAATTTTATATGAAACAGTTTGTGGTTCGCACGTTGTAGTACTATACACACTGTCACCTCGATAGCGCAAAATGAAATCCGATGGGAACGTTAAATTTTCAATAGGAAATTTTGACGAATATACACATATCGACTCGACCGAAGAACAGAGTCTGATGTGACTATATAGCGAAAAGAGAATAAGTACGTTATGATAATAATTTCGTTATTCAAATTAAGGCTTATGTAAAGGTGTTTTGAGAATTCGTATATTCTTATTTCGTTTCGGAAATATAAAATCAAACAACGGTCGATCTGACCGAACTGAAGAACGAACGAAATGTATTACGTCCTGACAACAAGCAGTTGCATATTGATCTTTGTTCTACGGCTATGTCGATATACGTATGTTCTATAAACGTTTGTTCGCGACTAGGTACTCTATCAGTCACTCTTAGTGATTGCAATATACAAATAACGTAATGAATGCCCAAGAAATAATTTCAATATATAGATTTTAAGACTTTCGTGGTTATTCACTAAATTATTATCACAAGTATAAGGTTTCTTACCACGGTATGACTTCTTTTTATTTTCCCGATATTTCGGAACGGTTGCACGCTCCATGGTCACGGGTTGACTGGACGGCGGCAGATGACATCTGCCGTAGTCAGAAGTCATACCGTAGTAAGAAACCTGATACTAGTGATAATCATTTAATAATTTCAATACCTGCCAAAGTACGTTTTGTAGATAATTTGTTGTCATAATTTATACGGGCGGTGGTACCCTAGTAAACTACAAAAGGTGCTTTTCCACCGACGAGGCAAGACAAGTATTAAAATTTGTATGGCAAATTTCAAATGTCTCCTAGTACATGTTCGATGCATTGACAAGGATGTGCGAGACGAAAATTGAAATATTTGTTGGTGTAATATTGAACCTTATAGCTGCCTACATAAAGTTAATATAACTGCAACGATGAGGTACGTACGATTAAAGACTTATTATGAACGGCTTCATCTGAATCTTCTTCCCTTAACATATTTAATCATTATTATTAAGTATTAAATATGTTACAATTCTCGTCTCGCCTCACTGATGGAAAAGCACCAATATTAACATTGTCATGTTACGAAAGAGTGAAATGTAAAGTAAAACACATATAATGTACTTAATGCATTTTTTTTCTTTTTTGGTTATACAAACCAAGTAGTCAAAGTTGTAGAGACTTGTGACCTAAAGAAGCCTTTAACGGTACCTTTATGTATAGGTAAATTTTTGTCTCTGTCATTTAAATAGATATTTATGGTCTTTCTTTTGGATAATATTAAACATATATGTTTTGTATATATGTAGAATATACAAAAGGTACATCAGATAAAAAACTTCTAGAAATTTGAAATGTTGTAAGGCACATTTTCCTTACGACAAATGTCCCTTACGACATTTTAAAATTCAATACATTAACAAAATTATGACCGTTTCCTCATGCTCCTATTGGGTGCTCCTTCTAGTAGGAGCACGAGGACTAATACGTCCTGCTCCTACTAGTAGGACCAAAAGGATAGATATGTCCTCGTGCTCCTACTAATGTACTGTCATCTTTATTTTTATATAAAATTATTACTTTTATATCCTATAAATCGTAAGGGACATTATGTCAAGAAGGACATTTTGTTGTAAGGGATAATGCCCATACATTTCAAATTTCCACTGTCGATATGTGTAAGGCGTTGTATACGTATATCCTTATACACATGACCTACTTATCACTTTAACAACACCTGTCGCTAAAGGTAAAGAAGGACATTGTGATGAAACTTAAATGTCGAAGAAGTTTCGCAATCCTTTTAAAAACTTATGAACACTATGCCCTAAACTGTCTCCGTAGAGGGACCTAGCCTAGACACATGTAATGATTTCATGATGATGATTTTTTACGTTTTACTATGTGATGTTTACCTTTAGATCCAATTTTTAGTAACATTTGTTGGTAGGTCAATGATAATGTCTTGAAAAGCCGTGGAATTTTTATTTAAACACGAAAGACTTTGGAAATTCTTCAGACGGTAATTAGTAGTAGTACAATAGAAGCTTTTTGTATTCATAACTAAATGTTATCCAAACAAACCTTGTTGATTGATTTAGAATTACTAACATAATGGGTTTGTTGCGTAATTTCGATGATTACAAAAAAATCAATTGCTTATTGTTTTTAATTTATACATAAATAATATCCACGTATGTATCCATCTTTTTATAGTCAGAAGGTATAGATTTCATTCTTAATTAGAACAGTGAAAATAATCAGTGCCCTTTTTTTAAACTTACAGAGGCAAATATTAGATTTAGATATTATCTAAATTTCTTGTATAAAAAACTAAATACTATTTATTTATTTATTGAGCATTGGCTATAGAGCCCTCAACTCAAAAAGATAGCAAATAAATCATTAAGAAACTCAAAACCTAACATATTTTAAAACATTACTTCGTGTCAAAACTTAATTACAAAAACACGTCATTTTTTACCATTTCTCTGTATTAGAAAAAAATGGCGAATTTCTGCGTTTGCATTTTTTTAAACGATTTTTTTTTTTTAATTATGTACGTTACATTTCCAGTTTCTTAATTCTTTGTGGTCTGTTCAAGCTAACTCTAACCAAGGCTAAATTATAATTATAAAAAAACTTCTTTGTATCACGACTAGACGGTGACAAATTTTTACTGCCCTAGCTTGTATCTCCTTTCGAATTGACGCAATGTATGATGTAATTTTAATTATTCAATAGGTTTAAGGTTTTGTCTTTTTTTATGAAAGGGGCACTAAAGGCAGTTACTTCGGCAGTTAAAAACAACAGGGCAGGGCCCTTATCACAACCAACATTATCGACATTTTTAGCTAAATTAAGTTATTAACATGACTGGGATCAGAGAAACTAGATTTAAAAGACCCTATACGCGTTTTTTTATCTTACTTAGTTTCAGTTTCATTGCTACGCAAAATCAGCGTAATTGACATTTTTCAAAGAAAAACCCTTTTTTAGGCAGAGAACAAAAAAGTAACGGAATGGATACTCTCCGCCACTCCATAGCTTTAGATACCGCCCCACGCCTCGCACATTGACGGTCACATCGACTGAACGACAACAAGGCCTTCGGCGAGCCTTTTCACGCTAAGATGGCTTTAATATTTGAATATAGTTTTCATTTATTCATTACGAAACTTGTAAGTTAATATATAACATCATTGTACGTTACTATTTATAATGGTCGTGAATTATGCTCTGTACGGCTGTTATCGTCATGTAACGAGGATAAAGAGAGGAGATTCTTTCGTATTTCGAAAGTGAAACAAAGTAAGTAAAAAAGTCATTTTCAAAAGTCGTTCAATTTGTATCATCATTATATCAGCCGAAAGACGTCCACTGCTAAACATAGGCCTCCCCCAAAGATTACCAGACCAGTCGATGAAAAATATAATATATCGATATTAATACCTAATGAAAAAGTGCAATTATTAGCTTATATTAAATAGCGCTTTGAACATTGTTACACATTGAAAACCTAACAACAGCAGTAGTGCTCCTTGTGAAAGAAATCGTCCAGGGAAGTACTGCCACCTTGTCTATTTCTGCCGCCAAGCTGTAATGTCAGCATTAATGCGTTCCTGTTTTGAAGGATAAGGATGCTGGTGAAATTACAGGCACACGAGTCTTATCAACTTCCTTCTTAGGGTGATGGGCGCAGTGGCAGTGCCCCTCAAATCTTTGCGATTTAAAGCTCCGAGGGGCACTGCAGCTGTTATGGACAGGCGTGTAGCTTACCATCAGACGCACGACTTGTTCGTCCCGTCACTTGATGTTATATTTTTTTTAAACTCGATATTTAAGTTCTTAGGTTTTCGCGATTGTTACACATAGGAAACTATTTTTCGGGATTTAAATCGCGTATATTTATTTTTTCAAACAAACCGACATTTCGAGCCCTTTACAGATCCCATGATCACGGTTGACTGAAAAACAAATATACGCGATTTAAATTCGGAAAAAGAGTTTCATTTCCTATCGATATTTATGATTTAAATTCAAGTTTATGTCGGTTGCGACAAGAACGGTCCACACTGTTAAAGGTTGACGTGCTCTCTACTATACAATTACTATTCTGGCACTAGAGAAAGGGAGCTACGTATTTAGACAATTATTTATTAAAAACTGTACTTTTATTAATATTATGACGGCCTCTGTAGTCGACAGGCTATCACCCCGGTTTTCATGATGACGCCATCTCTGAGGTGCCGGGTTCGATCCCCGGCTGGGTCAGTGTTGAAACTAACTTTTCTACATAATATTGTCTGGGTGTTCGTGGTGCCGTCGTTGTTTCCGATTTCCATAACACAAGTGCTTTAGCTACTTACTTTGGGATCAGAGCAACGTAGGTAATGTTGTCTAATATTTATTTATTCTTGGCGTCACTGGGGTGATATTCAAACGATGGAATTTTTCAGCGTAACGAATAGGTACGTGCCATGTGTGCCCTTATATCTGCACGCTGGAATACACGTCGGAAATATGCGCTGAAAGTCAGCTTGGCTAAGTTCCGAGCTGCCAAAAAAAAAAAATTCGACAGGCAATCACACCAATTACCTGGTCTCGAGTTAGGAAATTCTCTGAACTATGAATACCAGAGCAACGGAATTTACTCCGGGGTTTGACCGGAAACACCCAGATCAGAAACAAATGTTTCTACAGTTCATTTCCCTCAATGACCTTACCAGGAATTAAACCCGGGCCGGCTTCATCCAGCGCTCACAGTGCAAACCGTTATGTCACCGAGATCGTTTATAATATAAAAAATAAATAATAAAATCGGCTATATAGTGCCATGCAAAACTTCATAAGCCACAAACAATTCGCACATGACAACTGACATAGTATTATCTCAAAATTGCTTT